AGAGAGAGAGAGAGAGAGAGAGAGAGAGAGAGAGAGAGAGAGAGAGAGAGTGGAAAAATAAAGAGCAACTGAGAAAGAAATTCATGGCGCTACTAGGGAATTTACTTATTTCGCGTGTGCACACTCCATTTGGGACTAACATCAAAGGTGCCGACAGAGAACTGCACTGCTGTGTATACTGTGCCGCGATCATCGCAAGCCTTCGCGCTGAACGTTCAGTAACGGAAATAATTCGATTGGATCAAAATCAACCGTTTATGATGTTATGTCTTTTAATATACGGCTTTAGAACAGTCCAAGGTTCCAATATGCCAGCGAGGAAGAGTCACTCGAAAGAACGTGAAGACTCCCGCAGTCGTTAAAAGGACTCAAGCACTGATTTCGGATGATCCAAGGCAATCATTGCGAAAATCGATTGTTGGTAAGCTAACAATGCGTCGAGGAGGATCTTCGATAATCGTACATATTAAAGGTATGACAGATGCTTTCTGAGGCTATCATGACAAGCCGAGTTGCTCACTTTGGCTACCATTCTGGTCTCCCAACAGCCCAGATTTAAATCTCTTGGACTACTATGTACGGAGTGTAGTTGAAAGGATCACAAATAAGTCTCGGCACTCCAATGTGACGTCATTAAGAACCGCTATTGAAACAGCATTCGTCAGCGTGGACAGCGCTACATACATTACAACGTTCGTGCGAACGCTTCAGACCGAGAATAAAAGCCGATATTTAAGCTAATGGGGAATATATCGAATAATTGTGCTCTGCAGGGATTCCCCAAGTGCTACCCAAGTGTAAAAGGATTTTTTGTAATATTTAATTTTTCATTAAAAACATTTTGTTTAAAAAAATTGTTCAATTTATTTCAATTTTAATGACGCACTCTGTACACATACAAGATAGTGGTGCAGGTATTGTAGGGTAAACTGATAATAAATATCTATATTTTGATTTAATGACAAATCAAATTTATTGTAATTTAAAACTTAAGCTAAACTTCTAATACATAAATTTCAATTCTATAATAGTTTTCAAATGAGAAGAATTTTTGAAGATCTTGAATAACACAGTTAAAATTTATATGGCGTTGACAAAATGATTTCTTCTTATTTGAAAACTATTGTAGTTATATTTTCATATTAGAATTTTCATCTTAAAAATCAAAGAAGTTCTTATTAAAATATCTATTATTAGTTTATAGAAATTTCCATTATATAATATACATGCACATCACTTCATTTACTAAAATTATTATATGTTGCGTAGAGCTCTAAATAGCGTGCATGTCAATACGAAATCGTGGTCGGACCAAATTAATTGTTCACACATGCATACACGTTTACGGACGTCGTGAGAGTCGGCATTTTAAGAAGAAGAAAACGCGGTGTCGGCACAGATCGGAGCGATAATCGGCGCATATAATCATTAATTCGCTTGTGATTGTTCGAAACGCCGCAGCTAACCGTGATTTCTATATTTTCGGAAACAGCAATCAGGAGAAAGATCGAGGGTCCGTGAGGAGTCATGGCGGCATGGAGATTCTTTCGATCACAAACTGAGCAAGAGTGCAGATTGTATATGAATTCGGAATGAGTTTAAGTCTCACAACGTTTTGCGTAATCGCGATTCAGGATTTCCCCTAGGCATCGTCGCGAATATAGTCCGGCCACGGGTTATACGTAGTGACTCAGGGTGACTCGACAGCATCCCCCCAGGCGTTATCCGAAAGGCGATTCAGGGATCGAGTTCCCCCAGGCGAAATCGCCATCTAAAAGATACGCGGTAACATAAGCCATAGAAACAACGAAATGTATTTTTTAAGCGTTTTTTGTGCTTGATATGTGATATGTGATTTGTATTTGATTTAATTAAACATTATTCATAAACGAAAACAGTGTGAGATATTAGTGTTGTCCCCCTGCATCACGAAACAATTAGTACTGTATATTCTTAAAGATGTTTAATAATGATAGACAATAATGATAAAGATATTTAATAATAATAGTAATAATTTAATTTTTATATTATTGTTGATGAAGAGTTATGAATGCAATTACATTGCACATAAAAACCACAAAATTTACATTAAATTTATTATTAGATTATTATTAGATTATTATTAGATTATTATTAGATTGACATAAAACGTATAACGTGATATTTTTGCATAATGTATTTTCTTAATCGTTATGATATTTAAATATAAAATTATAAAAAAAATATTATCATTTTGCATTACTACATACATCATATTATTAAGCAATTATATAAAAACTCAAACAAAAATTGAGGAAAGATAAAGTTTTTAAAAGGAAAAAATTCTCATTTTCATATTACGATGTAATTTTTTTTATCTGAATACTTGAAAAAGTGACACTTAAAAATGTAAATAACTCTAAAAAAAAACAACGCAAAATTATAAGAAGCACTATGAATACTAAATTAAATAATTATATGTACATATAATTATATGTACATGTAATTATATGTACATAATTATATGTACATAATTTAGTATTCATAGCGCTTCTTATAATTTTGCGTTGTTTTTTTAAATGATTTATTTACATTTTTAAGTGTTACTTTTTCAAGTATTCAGATAGAAAAAAATTACATCGTAATATGAAAATGAGAATTTTTTCCTTTTAAAAACTTTATCTTTCCTCAATTTTTAATAAATTATGTACATATAATAAATGTATTTATCGTGGTACGACTATTTTTTATATTGATAAAAACGCTAGAGACTAAAGTTGAAATGAGATCTATTAATAGACAACAACAAGATAAATAAAATTAATAGATCTTGTAAGAACGTAATATAGTTGTAGAATAATCACAATAGTATTGCAAGTTAATTTTCAACTTGTAGCATAATATGAAAAGATCTTCTTTTATATTATTATAGTCATAAATTGAATTAACAAATATATATAATATTTGATAAAT